AGATTAGCGCAGGATAGGAAAGAGTGGAGGTGCGTATCCAACCAGTCTTCGGACTAACACCTTATGATGAGGAATATTAAAAAGATTTAAAGGTCATCCACGATTTACTATTTAATAATTGTACATTAAAAAAAATAGGACTTACAACAAATCAGGTTGTAAATCATCCTGTGGTTCTGTAACACATGGTAGTAACTCAATTATTTGCCCGATGAATTCCAAAGATTGAACGGTATTCCAAGACTGATCAGTGATTGTAAACAAGTCGATTATCAATAAGTATAACTTTTCATTACCATGTCCAATTATTCGTGGAACGTCGGTTAGAGTCATTAATTTACTTATAAAGTCTAAAGCCTTCTTTTTAGAAGCCGAATCGACGTTGAAAAAAGTAGACATGGTGTCTACACTCTCCACCATTTTTGTTATAATTGTTTTCACAATACTCCTTTCCTTACAATATTTTTTAACGTAGGGTATTATTTCCGTGTTAAAATAGTAGATATCTTCAGGTGGATTTTTACACAATATTTCCATAAAATATGAGAAGTTCTGAACGATAACTTTCGACAGAGTATCTTTGAATGTTCTAAAGAACAAAACTCCTTTTTTGGACTTCGTATTAGTACCTTCATAGGTCACCATCTCTTCGGAGACGATACACTTTATAACTAAATGAATTTCATTTTTATTATTCTCAAGTGCCAGTTGTAATTTCATGTCGTAAAATTCGTTTACTGGCTTGATTAACTTGATGAAAATTGGACTGGGACTTGTCTTGACTATTTTGGCAAATAAGTCAGGAATTGTTCGCGAAAAAAGATCACCTAAATTCATTTCTTTAGCAAAATTTGTTTTCTGTAACAACAGCATCCCTTTTAAGGCTAATCTTTGCTGATACGGTACTGACACAGCCTTTAAATCCACTTCATCTTTTAATGTTTGTATTATGTATTCACGAAGCGTATTTTGAATATTTTCTTTCCCAGTGTTTGGTGTTAAATTTGCATTTAGTAAATTTAATAACGTCACCACTTCGTTGCCAAATTCGTCAGCTTTCGTCATTTCTATTCCCAGCACATACGGCATAAACACACAATTTTTGATAAAGTTCCATGTTGATGGTTGCTTCCAAATGTCAATACATTCAATATGATATTTCTTGGATAGAATCGAACTAAACAACGCTACCAGTTTATTGATAATTTGGGATTTCAATGTTTTAAATGTCTGCTTATCAGCGGATGTGACCGTACAATTTTCCTTGAAATTTTCAAGTGTTTTTTCCTGTACATTTGATAAGAAAAACCCAACACTTTCTAAGAACTCTTTGTTTTCAAAAGCGGTTTTTGGGGATAATATGTCATTGTCGATAATAAACTTGTACCCATCGATTGCACACAAGAAGTAGCACATCCATTTGAATATATCGTTCTCAAAACTTTCTGGGCTGAGTGACCGTAAATGATAAGTCTTTAGAATCCAGTTTGAGTCGTCAATAAATTTATTGCAGAATTCTTTCAAATTTCTACAATCTTTTACTTTTGGTGCAATTTTGCAAAACAAATCCATACACTTTTGTCTGCAGTGAGGTGATAATGATCCAGTTTGGGTTAAACTCCAAATTGCCACGTCCTTGAGGGTGTCTCCACCAAAACTGCTCGGGACTATACGATCAGGATTTGAGGAGTTGAAACGATCTGATTTTTCTACTAGACCACGTTTAACATGATCCAAAGCGGAGAATGCTTGCTGTAATAGGCTGTCCTCTAATGAGATGGTTTTGTTCATTAAAGAAAGATTCGTGACTAAAGAATCTAGGATTTCGAACCAATAAATATTAAATATCTCGGAATTTTCACGAAGTTCAGTATAAGTACTGTTAAAGAGGAGAACGGCGCCGGTTCTTTTAAACAAATCGGGATGTCGACTAAAGGTCTTTATTTTACAGATCCAGAATTCGATTCCCATTGATCTTTGGTCTTTTGATTGGCGTTTCGTCCAAGCTAAATACTCCCTAACGCAAATTCCGGCGAAATCTCTCAGAGACGAATTCGAGGTATTAGTAATGGCTTCCTGAAATTAAACAGTTTCTATTGTCATAAGCACAAATAATTCTGTTTAAATAGAGTAAGAAAAAAATATTAAGTTTAAAATTCCTTAAAATATGGAGCAAACGTTGTCCGCTTTCAGTTACAACAAAGACTTAGTTCCAAAGAAATATCGCATTTATAGAAAAGACAGTTTACTAATGAATTGAAGTTGAACATTTTTTCGGACAATCTTCGATTGATTTATTTACTGCGATCATTAAGATCATCAGTCTTGGCTTATTAAGTTAATTGATGATTGTTGTTACTCTATCTGGTAAAGACTTCTCGCTGAGGCAGAGTCACCAAGAAAGAAAACTTCCTTTTCGCCGAACTTGCACTTTGGTCTGTTTGGTAGCGTACCATATCAGTTTAATCGCGTGACACTGTTTGTAAATATTGTTCGTACTTGCACACATACTGTATATTGAAGCGAGTACGCGTGTGTTTGTGTGCGATAGGGCACACGTGTGCGTGAATGGCTTATCGATTCGCCGACTAACCGCGTACGCCTTTCTTCATGTGCGCCGTATTTGTAAATGTGTGTGTCGTACTTGCGTTCTGGGAAATCAGTTAAACAGTTCAAAGAAAAAATGAATTATTCGGATGTTTCGAGAATGTTTCCGAAAGTAAACAAAAGAGTATTTAAAGGAAGAGAGGATCGCCGAGAGGAGGAGAAATAAATAAATTGACCGTTGCAGTTGAATCCAGAAATAAATTGACAGTGTTAATAATTAGTGTAAATAAATAGTTTTTGTCGTTATNGGTAGGGCGAAAGGCCCTCTTCAGCCTCCTTCCAGAAACAGTGGGAATGGGTGGGTGGTGGTTCGGGTGAGAAAGATGCGACGGACGAAATGAAGACAGAAGGGAATGCATTCTGGGATGGATGCGAGTACCAATGCATCAGTTGAAGAACAAACGGTTCGAAAATTTGCCTTACAACTCCGTCCACGTCACAAGCCAATTGAAGTAAAGGAACAAATATCTTTTTTAATACGAGATTTATATCATTTAAATCTTCATCGCTTGCAGCTTTACCTAAAAGTTTGATACTAAACGTCGGAAAAACTCTTTTTATCACACACAATACTCACTGACTCCGAGTAAATTCAGAACTATTGCATGAAGCAGTTCACAAGCTGTGACCCTACTTTTTCTATTACTAGAATGAAGGGCAATATTCAGTACGTGAGGCACGAATTTCTCAAGACCTATATCGATATCGGCGTCTTCAAAAGGTAGCGTCACCTTTAGATGACAGTTTTTACCCCAAACCACAGGCTCAAGTGTGTTCTTAGAACTTACAAATTTGTAACAGATATTCGTATCAAGTTTTCCCAAGAAAACCATAATTTTGTACTGAAGTTCTAACAATTCTGATTCACTTTCAATAAACACTTTACGTTTCATTACAGCTCTTTCGGTTTTTCTCGTCTTAAACTTGGTAGAGTCTACAATTAAGTTCTTTTCATTCAACGAATGACTTTCAAGATATGAATCTAATTCAGGGACTATTTCTTCTAAGAACGGTTTAAAGTCGTTAATGGGGAGAAGTATGAACCATTCTTCCAATGTATCAATTGCTAAATGAGCTAGTTTCAAATAACTCCTTCCTACATTGAAAAGTGACGTGAATGCTGGGACTGCTTGTGGTAAAATGTTCTTAACCATAGCTTCAGGAATGCTCATCAAGAGTTCGAGACATGATATCAAAAGGTCTTCCTTTAAATGGCTTACTTTTTGCAAAATGTCTTGGATGAAACTGTAAATCGATTCGTAAGTAGATCGTACATACTCGTACTTTTCGATTCGTGCTTTGGTGAAGTATCTCAAAGATGTGCTCAATTTTAAACAGGCTGTGAGCAATTTATAGAAGCCGCTACACAAAGGATAGTGCTGGGACTTTTTGATGACGTTATCAACGAATGCAGGGATCCATTTTCTGAACATTGCAGGATCCTGTTTATTAACCAATATAAAAATGTCTCTGTAAAGGTCAGCAATGTTCACAAAGATGATAATGTCAGCAACTTTGACAGGTTCAAAAATAGTTTCCAGATCGGTCGCTGTCGTTATCATATCTTCATTTTTCTTTACTACAGTTCCTAGGTCGAGTTTATTGATTAGAACCAACAAATTTCGTATCAGCTCATCGAAAATTTCTCGTTTGAGGACTTTCGTCTCTTCTGCGTCTAAATATCGTTGTCTGAGGTTCAGTAAGCCGTTCCACAATTGCATATAAGACTTGTAAGTGATGATGTTTATATTGTCTTTAACTACTTCTGCATCAGCTTCGATTTCATGTGAACAAGTCCATAAAATACCTTGATATAGGACAACTTGTAGATAATTGCAAAGCATTTTTTTATTATTCACATTTAGATTGCATATTAAAGAAACAATTGCGTCAACTACTACAAAACGATGGTGAGAAGGAATTTTAGGGAACATCTGAATCATAAAAATCGACGACTTGTATATTACAGACATTTGTGAGTCGGTTAAGTCTTTAAGCAGACTGACCATGGAACCGATCGAAAATATGTAGTCGGGAAGAAACTCTAAGTTGATGGGAGTATCGGGTGTTTCTTGGATAAAAAACTGTTCTTCCATCTTCTGTGACATGAGGGCCAGAATGCCGTCGAATTTTTCTCGTAAATGGATATAAATTGCTCTTGCAAAGTAGCCCACACCTCGTATACTTAAATGTACTACATAAGTCTCGTCCTGATTAGACAGTTTTTTAAGGCAAGGGTTTACAAGAAACTAGAAACATCAAAATTATATTTAGTCAAAGCACATTAAAAATTATTGATTATTATGTATATACCTTGGCAACTTCGCCACCATTATTAGATTCACATGCAACCTTTCCCATTTCATTGTAAAATTCTAAAAGAACGTTAAAACCAGCTTTCTTATTCTCTCCTGTTTCTGACTGCAGCCAGTGCATAAAATATTTGTACCACTCCTTATAACGAACATAAATTTCTTTGGCAAAAAGATTCATGTGCATTTTCAAAAGATTTAAAGCGGCTAAAAATAAATAAATGCAATTAAATGAACACTAATGAACGAAAAACTTTTATTTTTTAATTAATATATTGTCATGTAATGAAACTTTCCTCACAATTAATAAATTTATTTATTTATTCTCTAATTGACACATTATTAAATATCTAATTAATTTTTATTTCACTACTATAATATCACACACTATGTCGCTTCTTCGATTTGTATCGGCTCGTCGCGTCGTTAAAATTCGAACTAACTCCTCCGAAAAACTTCTTTTGGGTATTTCATTCCCACCAGCCAGTAATGCTGGTGGGCGGGCAGTCCCTTCGAACTATGCCGGAAGGTAGGGCGAAAGGCCCTCTTCAGCCTCCTTTCAGAAACCGTGGGAATGGGTGGGTGGTGGTTCGGGTGAGAAAGATGCGACGGACGAAATGAAGACAGAAGGGAATGAAAGATTATTTGTGGAATATTACTGCCCCAGCATTTGCCTAAGTGATCCCAGGAAACCACAGAAAAATTTGGACCAAAGCAGACGGACCCAAAATCGAACCGGCGTCCTTCCGAATGCTAAGCAATGGTCTAAACCTCTAGGCCATGCCGCTCGGTAACTCCTCCGATCTCGCGGTAACCATTTATAGGTACTGGAATCGTTCTAGAAAGATCCAGAGTGTGAAATCTAGTCTGATCTGTTCTTCTTTCTTACTGTCTATGTTGGTTTGCCTACACGTGGCAGTATGATGGATTGTTTACTCGGGACACTCCACTCCCAAAATTGATCATCCCGATAAGTGTCGTCGCCTCTGTAAGGAGTACGCTGATTAAAATGGGCGACCTACATTTTTGAGCAGGATCCATGCACAACGTCGTCAACGGTGTATGAATCAAACATCCCTTCCGTCTTGACGGATTATAAACCTACCCGCATTGTCACCCCCATTAAACTCAGCAGAGTTGGCTCGTCGATCGTATCTGGTTTTCATATGGTCACTTTTAAATCGCAGCTTCGTACAAACATAATTATGGATGGCTTGTAGTCGTTCTTATAATTTGCGCACATATTCATTTGTAGACACTACAGAATTTTCAGGGGGACTAAACATCTCGTCCGCAGTTTGGCAGTCGTTGACGAAACTTCTTAAGTAGGTCTCCAAAGTAGCGTTAAATCGTTCAAAAATTCCAAAAGACTGCAGATGTAAGGGCGTAGTCATCGTTTTTGTAGTGGTCGGTAGCTCAGTGATTTTTTTGAATAAAGCCGAAAGTTCCTTTCTTGGTCAGAATTTGCTGCATAAGTCTTCTACATCGCTTCTATTTCGCAGTCCATAAAATCGCTTGTTTAACTTCCCTAGTAGTACTTGGAGTTTCTTTCTGGTTTCATCTGGACTCACCCAGTCTTTTCAAGACGCCGTGAACCAGGGTAAGGGAAGTCCACTGGGCCCAATAACCTTTCATTGTCTAGCTTGAGTGGCTCATATCTGCCCACGATAGTCTTGAGGTTCCAACTTGTTTCCATCTCATTTTTGGGTCAATTGCTTCGTCTTTCCGCAGGTCGTTATCTACCCGGGATCCCTCAGGCTAAACGGTGATTAGATTAGTAGATTAGAACAAATCGATGCCAGTTATTCCTTCTTCTCCGTAGAAGAATAAGATTTACAGGTTTCGACGTAAACTCTCCAGGGTACTACCTCTGTGTTATCGTGTTGCCTGGGTGATACTCGATATCGAACTCATTTATCTAAAGTAGTTGCAGCCATCGTGTAATTTGTTCTTCTGGGCTTCTAAATTGCAGTAGTCACTTCAGCAAGGCATGATACGTTCTCAAGTGGAATTTCCATCCAAATAGATACTTGTGTAAATGTTCGAGAGTTTCAACTATAGCCACTAGCTCTCGACGGGCGACACAATAATTTCATTCTTGTTTCGAGAGTGTTTTACTAAAGTTCCTGCTGACTTTTTTCTTTCCCTCATGTACTTGGGAAAATACACCACCAAGTTCCACATTAGTAGCGTCAGCATCAACGTTGAAGGGTTCTCTGAACTGTGGGTAGATTGGGGCTCCAGAGAGCATAATATTCAAATTGTCAAATGTTTTTGGCTTTCAGGTGTCAATTGGAATGAAACTCCATCTGCTGTAAGTCTGTGTAGTGGTCTGGCTATATCCTACAGTCCCAAACTTCTAAGTTCATAACGATCTTTTGTTATGACCAAATCGGTCATAATACCATCTGGTGTTATGACAGCCTAGGTATTTCACTTCTCTTCTAAACAGGGTGCATTACTTGGGACTTAGCTTCAAGTTTGCAGTTGCCAGTTTCTTGAAGGCATCAGTCACGTTTCGGATGTGCTCGTGGAAGATTCTTCCTAGTATGATCATGTCGTTTAAGTAAACCAAATAGATTTTCCAGTTTAGTCCTTGTAAAACAGTGTACTTAATGTACAATCCAAAAGGTATGACATTGAACTGCCGTAGACTATTTCCAGTTGTAAAAGCAGTCTTCTCCAATTAGACTGTCTATTGTGTCGTCGGTTCGAGGTAATGGGTATCTGTCCTTCTGCCCTATATATTCCAGCTTCTTGCAGTCCACACAAAATCTTGTGGAACCATCTTTCTTGCGTAGCAGCACTATATAAGAGGCCCAAGAACTTTGAAATGGCTCGATGACCCCTTGTTCGTGCTTACTGAAGGTTACTGACGTACTTCTTGATTCATCCAAGGAACTCTTCCAGATGGTGGCTTGATGGGCTTTACTGTTCTAGTGTTAATGAGGTGGTACGTTAAGTTGCTCTTATTGAAGTTTTGATCTAGGACGAAGACGTGTCGAGAACGGCTAAGTTCTTCTAATTGCTTGACTTGGTATTAGTTGAGATGGTTACTTGTAACTGATGGAAACTTCCAGAAAATTCGATTTCTTCTCTCTTCGAGATTTTTCCAACGATATATGATTTGTTGGGTTTTTTTCGCGATCTCTAGAATGGAATTCTTCAAACTTTCTGCTCCTTCAGTAATCCTCTTCAATCCCACTCCTGACACGAAATGTCTCGTAATTAAACACGTTTCTTGCTATTACAATATTTGTTTAATTATTTACTCTCTAATTAACACCACTATTTTATTTATTCATTTCTATTTCAATACTATAATATCGCATGTTAGGTCGCTTCTTCGCTCTTGTTTTTACACTTTGTATCAGCTCGTTGCATCAGTAAAACTAGAACTAACTCCTCCGATCTCGCGGCAACCATTTATAGGCGCTGGAATGGTTCTAGAAAGATCCAGAGTGTGACATTTAAAACAACTGGTCTTCTTTGTTACCGTTTTCGTTTATTGGAACGTGATAAATCGTGTTATTAGATGTATGAAATAAAAACTGGCCAAGCAATGACAACATTTATTTACCTGCCGTATGAACAACTATTTATAATTAAAGTGCGAATCAACAAAGAACACAACATAAATGAGAATAATTTAAACAAAATGAAATGAATTAATAAACAAAAGAAAAATCACAAAATTAACTTATTTTTTAATCGCTATCTGAACACGACCCAAACAATTCCTGTAGAAGACGTCGAATCTTCGGGGGGCGAGGTTTCCGCTGGGGTTTTGGATTTGTTGGCGAGAGCGACGAAGGACGAGCGGTGATCGGTGGTAGTTACTTCGTTGGTACGGGGTCATCAGGGACATTTCACTGAGACGTGTGACATCGAGTGGACGGTGGTATAGTTGTCTGGTTGCGTCACCTGTAGGCGAAGCAGCTCGTCCAGCTCGTAGTACTGGCTCAAGTCAAGCGTAACTCAGACAAGGTGACAGTGAAGGTTGAATAGCTTCGCAGCTAGGTTTGGTAGCTTTGCCACTAAGTTTGGTAGCTTCGCAACCATATTTGGTAGCTTTGCAGCTAAGTTTGGTAGCTATTTAGCTAGTTCATTTGGTATCTTTTCACCTAGTTGGCAGTGAGGTAGCTTCGCAGCTGTGTTTAGTGACTTTGCAGCTAAGTTGGGTAGCTTTGAAGGTAGATTTAGTAGTTTTGCAGCTAACTTTGGTAGCATTTGGTAGGTTTTCAGCTAGTTGACAGTGAGGAAGCTTTGCAGCTTAGTGTATCTATAGTGTCACTGGATAGAAGAGATTTGTATGACATTTGTAACAACCGTAGCGGTCATCGCTGATCCGCGTATGATCTGTCCGTAGATCAGACGATGATTTGGTATTAATATTTTGGGTTACCTACACGTGACAATATGGTGGGTTGCCTCCATGAGACAATAAATTGAAGGGCTCTTTTTCATTTTTTTAGAGTTTGGAATGATGCATTTTTTATTAAATCATAAAAACAGTGAATAATTACCTCTGAATGCAACTTTTATTTTAGCATTAGTAGATTTGACTAATGATTCTAGGCAATCTAACAATTTCTGTTTCCTTTCTGGGATAATTTCTGTACTACAACTTTCCAAAGCTTTTGATAATCCAACCATACAACCCTCTGTTGCTTTTAAAGTGGCAGTCTTTTGATTTTCACATGCATACAATTCATATTCAATGTTTTTTATTAGTTTTTCAAAAAAACTGTTACAATCAAACACATTATTAAAATGTTTCATAATGGTACCCAAAACAATGGCTATCTGGGACTCCACTAAAATATAAACACAAAAGAATACATAGAAGACAATTGGAATATTACTTATACCTTTTGAGGTTCTTTTTAATTCAAAGCTTTTACATAAATCATTGTACAATTCAATAACAACATCATGATTAATCAAATGCTGTTCAATTATACATTCTATTATTATTAAAGCAGAAAATTTGTCATCTGATCTTGCATTAGAAGTAATAATTTTCTGACACACTGTCACCACATCAACTGCATTTTTCTTGATTCTCTGACCCATGGTATTTATTATTATAGATAAAAGTTTTAAGGAATGTACGAGAGCAGGGCGAAATTGTTCAATGCATATAACATTTTCTATGAATTTTAATAGACCATCACTTTTGTTGAAGATATTAACTAAATGGAAATCTAAATAAAAATAAAATTGGTGTTACATAAGGTAAGGCAGTGTAATAAAAGATAATGAGCACACCAATAACAGTTAAGGGAAGTTGTCCATCTGAAAACTGTTTTAATACATGCCCAATTAAATCTGCAGCAAACATGTATTTCTTTTGTTTTACACATATCGCCAAATTGTTTCCAAAGTTTTGTACGTCTTCATCCATTTCTATTTACCTACATAAAATGGTTTAATACTGTTTTTGTTGATGAATTACTTCTTACCAAGAAATAATACTCTTCATATGAACTTCAAATCGCCGTAAACAAATAATCAAACAAACATAACCAAAAAATTGTACAAAACAGCTGACAGCTGTAAAATAATTAAAAAAAATCACTCACAGAAGTAAATTGAGGAGATAAGTAATGATTTGAGTTGCCTTCTATTAATTCACTTCAAATAAATTGTATAATGTCATTAGTTAGCGAATACTACATATTTCAAATTAATATAAAGTTTTAAACATATTTTGGTAATTTTTTACATTAGTTGACATTGGAATTGAGACATGAAGTTTAGTCAGGTAGGTAGTACTGACCAAGTAGAATCGTGTAGTAGCATTAATTCCGTGCGGAAACCAATGTAGCTTGAGATACAGGCTCCTAAAGTTATTTAATCGGAGGAAATTTCGATTGGTACGGCCCTGGCTGCAGCCCTTCGTCAGCTGTTCTCGCCAAAAATGCATTGATGACGTCATTGTTTAGTTAGGTAGATGTATGACAGACTCGAGTTTGTTTAATGCCCCTGCCCGCCGAAGGCGGGCTGATACATTAGAATAATGTTAGGAAGATATGTTTTAGGACAAACGATGTTTGGCGGGAACAGCTGACGGAAGGCTGAAGCCAGGACCGTACCTACCGGTATTTCCTCCGATTAAGAAAACTTTAAGGGCCTGTATCTCACTCACATTCATTTTTAAACAAATAATAAACAAAATTCTAGTAAATACTACTACACGACTTCACTTGGTGAGTACTACCTACCTGACTAAACTTCATATCTCAATTCCAATGTCAACTAATGTAAAAAATTACCCATATTTTTAGTTAATTATAGAAAGGGGTATAACAGTTAAACAATTTCAAAGAATATTTTTGGTGCTAAAATAGCAACGTTAGAATAATTTTCGCCTCTTCACCTCGCAAAGATTGTTTAAAAAAAGTAACTGCAAAATATAACTTTAGATTTAGAAATGAAATTTTAAGTTTGAAATTATAATTTTAGGTTAAACTGGATAATAAATTTTGGAGCAAAATTGTTGTAAACGATGCCATATTGAGAATAGCAATAATGGCATCAATTTGACATCAACGCAGTGGCTAGTATATTTCAGAACGAATCAACAGTATGGCCTCGATTCATGACGTCATCAGCACTGACCAGTATACTGGGTTATATTTCGGAATGCACCCTATAAATATATCTTTCTGGGATTATCTATCAATAAGGACATTTACATAACTATAGATAAAAGATATTAATCGAATCTATGGGTGTAATTTTTGGCCTCATCACTTCTATGGACGTAACCTATGGGCATAACCTAGCGAAGTTTTTTTAATAACCATCATTAAGAATTTAAAAAACTTAGACAATATAATGAATTTAATTAAAAAAATAAGTGCAAATGGAAAGCAAACCATCAAACGACACTTTTATACTCCAAAGTTGAATAAATATCCTGATTTAGATTTCGATTATTTGTGCAGTGCAAGTAATTGTGAAGAGATTTTAAATAACATCACTAGAAGAAAAGGTGTTGGTGATATACATTCAGTGCAAAAATTTAAGAAACAACTTGAAAATAGTAAAAATGCTACTGATCACGATAAACTGAAGCAACTGTTATACACTGAAGCTTTGAAAATCCCAAATAGAACTCACCCTGACGTTTTAAAATATACAACTGACATTAATATTGTACGATTTATAAACCAGAAAAAGAACTTCGACTTTCATCCACAAGAATTCCATGAAATATCAAAAAAATTAAACCTAGTTCGTACTGACCAATTAGGAAATTTGTCAGGAAACAGAAGTTACTATGTTCTTGGTGAAATGGCAGAATTAGAACAAGCACTAATCAATTACACAGTCAATAAGTTATTTGAAAAAGGTTTTCAACTTATGTCTGTTCCAGATATACTTCATAGGAATATCATTGAAAATTGTGGCATGAATACAAAAGGAGAGCGTAACCAAGTAGGTAATAATAAATGCATCATGTTTATTCTATTTTTTTATTGACTATTTCAGTTTTTGTAGGTTTATTTACTGGACCAGAAACTTTATGGACCCGATTTTTGTTTAGCAGGGACATCTGAAATGTCTTTAGCAGGATTTTTAATGAATAAAACCTTTTCTAGAAGAGAATTACCAACAAAATTAGCAGCAGTAAGTCGATGCTACCGAGCTGAAACCTCAAGCACTTCAGAAGAAAGAGGCATTTATAGGTGAGTTATGTATATTAATTAGTAACAGGAGATGATTAATTCTTGATTACCATAAATTATACTTAAAAATGAAATAATTAAAAAAAGGATTGAGTAACACTTTTTTTTTTCTTTAATAGGGTTCACGAGTTTACAAAAGTTGAAATGTTTGTCATTTCAACGCCTGAATCGTCAGAAGATCATTTAGAAGAATTAATTACAATTGAGCAAGATTTATTTGGAGATATGGGTCTTTACTTGAGGGTTTTAGACATGCCTCCGCATGAACTGGGGGCTCCAGCATACAGGAAATACGATATTGAAGCGTGGTTACCTGGACGAAAAATTTTTGGAGAAATTTCAAGTTGTAGCAATTGCACTGACTACCAATCAAGGAGGTTGAATATCAAATATTCAAGCGATAACGACCTTCGTTATGTACACACTTTAAATGGAACAGCATGTGCTATACCAAGGATGCTCATTGCCCTCACCGAGACTTACCAGACTGAGAAGGGTTCAATTGAGGTACCAAACGTCTTACAAAAATATATGAACAATAAAATGGCTATTGGAAGACAGAAAACGATTCCAGAACTCAAATTAGTAAAAAATAAAAAAGAGAAGTAGTTTATATTTTATTAATTGTATGTAAGATATGTTTGTTTTTATTTTTTCTTAGTTATCCTTTTATGTATTTAAACTTTAAAATTTATGGGTAATCACTGAGTGATTGAATAAATTTAACTTATTACATTAAGGAACTAATTTATTAAAAAAAAAGGAATTAGAAAAAGTTTAAATTAAATTTAAATTGATTTATAAAAGTTTTAAACACATATTTTAAATTATAAATAACTTAGATAAAGCTCAAGAAAATGGTAAATCCGTTTGTTTAATATGAATTAGGTACACTTATCATGAGAATAGGTAAACAAAATACAATTAATACTAGTATTAGTACTAGTACCGTCCGAAATGCGACTAATCGCACTCCTTTATTTTGTATTAGTTAAAAAAAGAAGGTATCGCATCGATCGGGAATTGAACCAGGACTTCCTATGTGGCAAGCGGTCAATTATTAAATCTACAAACTACCACGAATGACGCGGTAAATGTAAAGGTACGACGGTAACCGTGTGAATCTGACGCACGATATACATAATCCACTGTTCAAACTTTATCAATAAATTGTGCGTCGTTTGCGGGATTAAAATAC